TATTGGATCTCTTTTTCTCTGTGCTCTACCTGACCGCGTCGCTTCAAATGTGCAATTTGGCTTCTGTTACCAACCCTATTGAGAATAGCTGATTACGAAACAATGGTTACGAATTGCCATGATGGTCAGAGAACACATGATATGCAAAGCACTATAGAGAGGCATACAAGAAACGGTAAACAATAAACAAGAGATCGCCGGTTTATCACAACATCATCCTTCAAAAACTTCTTTCAAAGATACTATCAAATAATATTGCATCAGAAAGGTCTCTCAACCATAACTGAAGCATCATCACGTTCCATTCGAATGTGTCGTATATGAGAGGTTGTGAGTTTTTAGTTGGATTAAATTCTTGAATCAAATGTGCACTGCATTCGATTTTTCATCAATTCGACAAGATTATCACTGCCAATCAATAGAATATAATCAGAAAGTGCACGAACAATGACGAACGTGTGTGAGCGAAGTTATTTTAAATATCAATTGCATATTAAAAAGAACAGCATTCTGTATCAGTGTATGATCAACTCTGCATGGTCATTTTGATATCGCTGAATTCTGACTCTTGTTGAATAGTCACTTTTTGAAAGTTTCAATGGAACTGAACCCACTAAAAAGTGGGTGGGTTAAAAGATTAACTTTAAATCGTCATCAACAAAATAACAGTCGTATTCACCAAACATCGCGACAAACCGGTGTCGATATCCATAAACGGCTAATAATCAAGCCAATCAAGAAAACATTAGAAGCTGTGTACTTATTAGAACAAGCTTCGATTTTGGAGAAAGGTATGAGGTAATGAGAGGATTTTAAGAAGAAACTTCTCGAGGGACTATGACAAACCGCTTCCTCTAAACAAGTCTGGTCTTCACAGCTCACGTTAGATTCGACAATTTCTCGTACCACAGACTTAGGAATGATGTTAACACAAGTTCTGAAAATAATTTTAAAAAAACTATTGCTAACTGAGATAATTGTTGTTCGTGAATTTTGTATGAACTGAAAGGTGCTTGCATGATCCAATGTTCAAGGACCACCATTTCATGAATCACTGATTCAACTTCGTTACCATGAAAATCACTTTCTGGCAGAAATGGAAAGCTGACTAAACACTGAAAACTAAAATTGATCCGTCTGATATTTTGGGGCGTTACATTATGCGAATGTAAATGATTTGTCTCCGTATTTGATTGGTTATAAAGCAAAAAACAACGAACAACTAAAATCATACCGCAAATGGCAAAAGTTCATCTGTCTCAACGTCGCATAGACTTCATTTCATTTTCACAACACTACAGTTCAGTTATTCACCAATTTTTTTCTCTGTTGAAGTCGTTTTTCAAATTGGTTTGGCAAGAGGCAGCAGTTTCTCAAGCAACCGATATGTTCAGGTCAATAATTCTCGTGGTGAGTTGACGACATTTCCCATAGTTCCTTTAAACTTTTCAGTTATTGTTTACTGACGGCCGCTATTTCTAATTTCTGTCCTTTTGCAATATAGCAGCATTCGGCTGCTCTATCACAAGAGTATCAAAATTTTTTCCTCAAAGTCGAGGAGGAGAGCTGTCGGGGAATTGCTCTGCGTCGAACACCACACCGAACTACCACTTCACATAGTTAATGAACACTCATTTCATTGAGTTTTGCCCCATAGAAATCTTCATTTATAGGTGTTACTGGTCTACGGTGCAGCTGCCACCTCGCCGGGAGTATGCGGCGAAAACGAACTCTGGCTGCAGTGTGCACCATGTGAACTACGATGTGACGAAGAACTAGTATGCGAATTATTATTTTCCACTTTGTAAATCATGAATTCTTATGGCGAAGAAATGGTTATTCGATTGACTTCGTTTGAATTGTCGATTCAGAACAAAAATAAATACGTAATTTCTGAGCTATCAGTAATTGATTTCTGCTCATAGTTTGCTGCAGTTCGACATTTGAACAGCTGCGTCGTGAACCATACCGTTAAGCAGCTGCTTTAGTCAAACGATTGAATTATATTCCAGAAAACGTGTCCACAAGTATGCGGCCGTTGGTCTTGTAAATGCCCCTCTCAGTTCGGATTCAGGAGAGATGCGAACGGAAGATGTATTCCGAAGGAACAATGCTTCGCTAATCGTATGCTGCTTTTAAGATACAATTCTCATTCACTTGAAGTGTACAAATGAATCAATCTTTCACTTTTCACAACGCAAGCGATCGTTTTTTGATAGGTGCCTGTGGATGAATCAAAACCAGCAAAGTTTTCAAAAATCTTCATAGTGGGATACTTAGTGCATAAAGTGCACTCATTCCAGGCAATTGCGGAAAACATGAAGTGTACAAAACCTGCGGAACTGCATGTCCGAGAACCTGTAATGATAAGGGACCAGTGCCGTGTACATTGCAGTGTGTGGAGGGATGTTTTTGCCAAGATGGCTACGTACTCGATCGAAAAGGCGGAAGGTGCATTCCTGAATATCAGTGCAGATGTATGTTTGCTTGTGCGTTCACTATGCTGCAAATGAGTCAATTCTTGAGAGTTATAAAAAGCCGTAAATGCCTATTTTAACTTACGGAAATCAAAATCGAGAAACTCCCTCTGTCAAATGAACAACCTTGCATATATAGATGATACGCTTGCTTAGCTTGTTAATATTTGAAAAACCTCTGGCAATCACAAAATTCAGCGTTTGAATTTTCTGATCGCCAGAGGTTTTTGTACACGTTCATGTCAGAAAATTGAAAGAAGAAGTTTCAGACCAATGTGGACCAAAAGAAATCTACAAGAGTTGCGGAAGTGCATGTCCGAAGGTTTGTGGAAAGAGCGACTTCGTGCCATGCCCAGCCATCTGCGTGCAAGGATGTTTCTGCAAGCAGGGTTACGTTTTCAGTCGAGAGGGCGGAGTGTGCATTCCAGAATCAGAGTGTTCCATATCGAGTGAGTGGAACCTTTTGCAATCTATCAGAAACGCCCACAGTGGAACAATTGATAAACGATTCAACGAATCCTTATACGGTTCCCATATGTGACCCATTATACACAGAGAGATTTTTTTTGCGAACTAAAGGTGGCCTATTTGCAGTAAAATGTCAGCATAGTCACGGGATACTCATAAATACTCACTGAATCACGGGATACTCACTGGAAATGCGACCAAATTATTTTAGGAAAATGCGGTGAACATGAGGTGTATAAAATTTGCGGAACTGCTTGTCCAAGAACCTGTAATGATGAGGGACCGGTGACGTGCACGGCGAAGTGTGTG